CCCCCCCCCACTCACCCCCGTTATTTACCGCGATATTATCGATAATACGTCCAGACACGTAGCGCATCGAAAACGCATTTTTCTCTACCGTTTCTGACGTTGTCGAGAACGAAACGACCGACAGGCGTACCGATGGTCCGCGTAAACGGAAAGGGAAATGCGTGCGGCGCAAAACGAAAACGTGCGAATTGCCCGCCAAACGAGCAATGCGATTTTCGCGAACGCGCGCCCCGCGTTCCGTGCGTCGCCGCCCACCCGCCGGCCGGTCCGTCGCCGAACCGTTTGTCGCGTCCGGTCGCGCCGCGGGCCGAACGCACACGCAATGCCGTCGCGTACGCGCAGCGTATACGCTGATTGTTCGCGATTTGCTCAATACGCCGGTCGTCGTCGCGGCCGTAAAATCGATGCCGGACGTTCGGCAGCGCGCGTCTTAAGCGGCAGGAGCGGCAGCCGCGAGCCCGGTCACCCACGACGCGACCCCGGTCGCCGATACGCGCCCGTGCGGGCACGCGGAACAAGCGTAACCGAATCGTTCGGCCCGCGCGCCGTTTTTCAACGAGAAAACCGCGCGTACGCAACGACGAGTGCCGTTTTCTTTTCGCATTTCGACCGCCGTTCTCGTCTCGCCCGCGTCAATTACCGGTGCGCTGCGGGTTACAATCGACGCGGTCCAAAGCGAATGTCCAAGCCGCCAGGTGCACGCGCCCAGTTATTTATCACGCGCGCGTATTTCTTCCGACCGGGCGAGCGGAACGTGTCCCGGCGGGAAGGCCGAGACGCGGTAAAAAAACCGGCACTTGTCGGTCACCGCGACTACGAACGACGCCGCGTACCGCCCAACCGATAAACGACCGCGGTTCGGTTATCGGTTAAACGATTTCGGTTATCGGGAATAGGCCGCGGGATAACGGCAGACGGCGAAGACTCCGAGTGGCGGCCGTTACAGGTGAGTGGCCGGTAATTGTTCCGCCTGCGACGCATTTTCACGTTGCCCGGTGGCCCGGCCGACGTGGTTTTGCGCGACAAATCGCGAGGGTTATTTTCGTTTGAAAAGAACGCAATATAAATGGAATCGGAAAGGCGGTCGCGATAACCGATAAAAGGAAAAAAAAAAGAAAAGAAAATACGTACAACGGAGTGCGATTATTATCGTCATTGTCGTTGTCGGAAACGGTCGCGGCGCGAAAACCTTTTGCCCGCCGCGTCTTCGTTTCGCCGATACGGCGACCGGGCGAGTCGCGGGCGTTATCGCTTAACGTTATTGTTGTTGTTGTTATTTTTTTTTTTTTTTCCATTTTGTAAAATACGATCGGGGCGCGCGCGTAATATAAACGGCCGGACACACGTGGGCCGCGGCGGCGGCGGCGGCGTCGATATCATTTGTAAACGCGTTCGCGCGAAAAACGCGAAATTACCCGCGAGCGTGTCACGGTAAACAGTAATAATAATATTATCGCGTGTACCTACCGACGCGTACGCGGGACGGAATACGAAAAATCCGAAGAATATAATGTACGCGGTTAGGTGGTGTGCGTGCGTCTATAAGAAGAAGGGGATGAGAGAGAGAGAGAGAGAGTGAGAAAGAGAGTAGAAAAAAAAGGAAAAAAAAAGAACGTATATAAAATAAAAATAATGATTGATCGTCATCGGCGGCGGCGGCGGTGGGGAACGCGACGGCGCGACGCGATTGGCCGGCGTCCGAGAACCGCCCACAACGCGTTACCGCGGCCGCGGCCGCCGCCGTAGGCCGCACACACGCGGACACCGACGGCCGACCGTTTCACTCGGTTTCCGAACAGTCCCGTCGCGCTCGCCGTACCGTCTGCACCGTTTCTTCGACCGTCGCTGCGTCGCCGCGCCGTTGACGTCGCCGTTTCACGGTACAGCCGGACACACATACGCGTACGCGTTATTTTCGATTTTCGTCATTCGCCCGTTGCAATAAATCGCATTGCGCGTTTCGTCGTCACCGTCGCATATCGTCGAATACATTCGGTTTGATTTTTTTTTTTTTATTATTTTACCGCGATTTTCATCGTTTTTCGACCGAGTGCCGTTTTATAACGTTTTATTGTTTATTTGTTACATTTGTTTATTATTTTTTTTTTTTTTTTTTTCCGTCGCTCCGGTCGCTCTACGCGTTCGCGTTCACAATAAAATAATATTACACCGATAAGCGACCATGGACGGCGCCCAACAGCACATGCAGCAGATGCAGCACAATTACGATTTCATGATGAGCCACAACAATCTGCATCACCATCACAGCCGGGCGCTCGAGCAGTCCGTCTCGCCCGCGTCGTCGCCGTCGGCCGTCGGCATCATGCAGCAGCAACAGCAACAGCCGCAGCAACAGCCCGCGCAGCAACAGCACCCGGGCGCCGCGGCCAAGTCCGACCACATCAAGCGGCCGATGAACGCGTTCATGGTGTGGGCGAAAATCCAACGCAAGTTGATCGCCCACGAAAACCCGAAAATGCACAACTCCGAAATCAGCAAGCGGCTGGGCGCCGAGTGGAAACAGCTCAGCGAGACGGAGAAACGGCCGTACATCGACGAGGCGAAGCGGCTCAGAGCCATGCACATGAAGGAACACCCGGACTACAAGTACCGACCGCGGCGCAAGCCCAAGATCCAGCTGCACCAGAACAACAACAACAACAGCAACAACAACAACATCATTAACGGCGCGCACCACAACACCAACGGCATGGCCGTGGCCGCCATACAAGCAGCCGTCGGGGCGCAACCCCATCACTACCACCATCACAAGCCGAACATCCACGGGTTCCCGGTGGTGTCGGCCGGCGCCGGCAGCGCCGCGGCCACATCGAACTTCGCCAACTTCCCGATGCCTTACTTCACCGCCGGCCACCATCCGCTGCACACGTTCGACGGGCTCGGCGCGGCCACCGGCTACCCGTCCACCGGGCTCATGGGCCCGTACTTGGGCGCCACGATGCCGACGTTCGATCCCATACACTTGACCAAACTCGTCGCCCAGCAGCAGGCCGCGGCGCAGTCCAGCGCCGGGTCGCCGTCGCCCTCGTCCCAGATGGCCGGCTCGCCGCCGCCCTCGTTGCCGTCCGCCGCCGACATTAACATGAACGCCGTGCACAGTCTACAGCAGCATCACCATCAACAGCAGCAACAGCAACAACAACAATTGCAGCACCACCAACAGCAACAGCACAACAAGAACAGCAGCAGCGCCGCCGTGGTGAGTTCGTTTTACAATTCGTTTTATCCGTCCGCCGCGGCCACCGGCAAGACGGGCCACTACCCGCACCCCCACATGAGCCTGTTTTCGTCGCCGTTCTCGTTCTACAACAACGGCGGCGGCGGCGGCGGCGCCGGGTCCGGCGCCGGCGGCGACGATCACCACAGCCAGCAGCAGCACAACCAGTCCGCGGCGGCCGCCGCGTTTGCCGTCCAACAACACCACCAACAGTTACAACTGCAACAGTTGCAGCACCATCAGCAACAACTTCAGCAGCAGCAGCAGCAACAGCAACAACAACAACAGTTGCAGCGCGACAGCAACAACAGGCCCGGGTCGTCGTCGTCCGACATGGAAAACGATCATCCGATCAGACAAGTTCCTAACGCCATTCATTAACGTTCGAAAAACAGAACGCGCCCCCTCCGCCCCCCCCCACCCGTACGAAACACTCGCGACGCGCGTCCACGCACATTTTAACGTATTTTAACCAAAGCGTTTCTAGAATACCGATAACAATAAATCGGCCGTAATTTTAACGAACGACCGCGTCCGGGTTTCTCGGGGAAATTTTTTTTTTTGTTCTCACGTTAGTTTTTTCGCCTATTATGTATAAAATGTTGTTTTAGTCGAGCGCGGATAGCGCACCGTTTACGCATTACGCAGCGTGCGTCGCCGTTACATTAGGACACCGACCTACGCCGAACACGAGCGCAATTTAATATTAATAATATTCGGTTTTTTTTGTTTTGTTTTTTTTTTTTTTTGTTATACATTATTATTATATTATCGCGCTAGCCGTAGGTGTGGAAAAAAAACACACACACACACACACAAGCGCGTAATTAATTAACATTATTGTAATATTTCGTTTCGGATTTAAGAGCGCGGTACGATGTACTGCGCGCGCCCATACTTAAAAAATATTCGTCCACCTACTGTAACGCAAGTAACGACGGTACGCGCGTTTCGACGGCGTCGCGACACCTCCCCGCCGCACCCTCGCGCGCGTAACCGTCGTAATACACCCGCGTGCGTTATTCGTTTTGCCGTTTACTGTATCGCGACGCATTTACGCGTATTCCCGGACGGAAATGGATTGTTGTAGCCGGTGCCGACCGATCGGCGGGCGGGAGGAGGAGGAGGACGAGAAGGACGAGGACGAGGAGGGGGAGGGGTGCGCGCGCGCGCGGGTATATTATAATCTGTACGTAAAATTAATAAATAAGATAGTCGTATACACGTATATATATATATATGACATAATGTTACGATAACCAGACGTAGTCGCAGTAGTATACATTGTATTGTATTGTATTGTATTGTATGGTATATATATATATATATATATACATATATATATATATGAGTAGCAGCACGGTAATGATGATAAATGATAAGTGGCGAGTCGTTTATAAAAAAAAAAAATTGAAAAAAAAAAAAAAATTATCGTTATCGTCGTGTTCCGAACCCGTGGAAATTGTCTTTGGTCCCGATTCGGCTCAACAATAACACACGATAAAAATAAATTGCGCGCCGTTTTCGCGGCCGACGATGCGTTTCCGCGCGGGATAAAACAACCGGAACGGATCGCGGCCGTTTCCCGACGACTCGGCGGAAAAACTTCTCGGTCGAAAATAACTCTGCCCCGTTTTGCAGTCGAAACCGTCGGTTTCGTTTTGTGCCCAAGGGTCGAAAAAAACACCCCCCCCCCCACCACACACACCTCCGCGGGATCGATAAATTACCGAGTGGGGGGGGAGGGGCGGGCGGGTGGGCTGGCTGGCTGGCGAAGGAGGTCTCCGCGACGCGCGAACCGCCGACGCCGGGCCGTCTTCGGGGCGGTTTTCTCGTTTAAATATTATGTTTTTTTTTTTTTTTTCAAACAACCCGCGAATTTTTCTCCGCGTACGCGCCCAAACCTCGGTTACCGTGCGACGGCACGTAATTCGCGCATAATTCCAATTATTTATGTCCCTATTCCCCTGTTGCGCGCGGATCGTCCCGCCGCGGTATTCCGGTCCGCGTACGTGTTTATGACCGCGTACACCACCCGCACACACCGCCCGCGATGTATTCGGTCCGCCCCACGCCTCCCACCCCCACCACCGTCTCCGATTTCGTTATCGTACATTTTATTACGGTATTTTTTTTTTTTTTTTCCCCAATCTCTCGAGACGACGGACCGCGTCAGTATGATGTTTTTTTACCCGCGGCGGCATTTGATTTTTTCCCTCCGTAACGATTTTCACGAAACCCGGGGAACCCAGTCACCCCCTCACCCCCCTCCCACTACATATAGCCGCGAAAGGGGCGCGTAACGGAAAAAATATTTACCCGTCCCCGCGCCCGCCGTTCGCGCGAGAAAAAAAGGAGCGTGAGAGTAGGGCCGAATCTTTATATCAGTTATTATTTTATTATTCTCATTATTATTATCGTTGTATACGCCCATACATATATACTTACTGGTCTGTTGTTACGTAATTTTTTAACCTTTTTTTATTATTATTATTATTATTATTATTATTATTATTGAGCAAGTCTATATGTACAATAGTGTTTGCGAGTGTGACCGCGACAGGGAAATGCGAAAAAAAAAAAATCAAAACCTGTTGTCGACCCGTTATTTTCATTTGTATAATATTTATTACATCATTACGATATTTTCGATTTTTTTTTTTTTTTTTGATTTTTATTATTCGTACTTTTAAGTGTAATATATAATTATAATTTATAGTCTCTAAGTGCCAAAATATATAAAAAAAAAAAAAAAAATGTATTTGACGAACCCGCGTTTTTGATAAAACGTCACTCATTATGGCCGGTATGTGCCGAATGTATTATAATAATTATATGTAAAATGTGTATTCTCGAACGCTTGTGTGTGCCTAACACTAAAATTTATTGTTTACATTGTGAGCACGCGTTTTGATAAACGGAAAAGAAAAACAAAACGACTCGGAGCGCGCCGGTCGATGTTTAATTATTGTACGTAAAAAAGCGAAAATTCGACGCGAAATTTTTTTTTGTCCGAAATTAACGATTCCGAGTCGAAATCCGACCGGCGCGGCGGTGTATATAAGGGAATATTTCAAGAATCGTTTGTTTTTGTTTTTGTTTTTTTTTTTCTCGTTTTCGTGACTTAATAATCGCGTAAATTATTATTTATTATTATTATTATTATTTTTTCGTTCGTTTTTTTTTTTTTTTTTTTATCACTGTATATTATAAAATTATTATTAATTTTGTTTTTGATGAATTGTCACTCGCTCCCCTCCGCCCCACCATTCCGTCAAATCGGTGACCCATGACTAAAACAATTTAATATGTGTTTGATGTAAACGCTGATTATTATTATTATTATTATTATTATTATTATCATTATTATTATTATTATTATTTTTTTTTTTTTTTTTTTTT